CTTAAGGTGCAGTAAATAGTCCAAGATCTCTTGCAAGGGGGCCTTCCGCCAAGGCCCAACACATGAACCGCTTCCACTTAGCCACATAAGTAGCCCTGGTGGAGCGTTTCCTGCTGCCCAGCAGGACCAGCTTGACACCGCCAGAACACTGCCGTTCTTCCACGCTCAACCACGCGGAAACCAGACCGTCAAGTGCACCGCCGCCAGGTTCGGATGCAGCAGATTCCCATGATTGTGGGACAGCAGATCCAGCTGAAGAGGCAGCTGCAACTGGATGGCTACCGAAAGACTCAGGAGCATGGTGAACCAGTGCTTATGAGGCTATGCCGGGGCTACAAGAATGACCGTCGCTCTGTCCTGCTTCACCTTGAGCAGGATTCTGTGGGTTAACAGCGCCGGTGGGAAGGCGTACATCAGCACTCCCGACCATGGAATCAGGAAGGCGTCTGACACAGAACCCTTGTCCCTGCCCAGCAGAGAACAGAACACGTGGCACTTCCTGGGGAGTTCCTCACCAGCGGAAAATTAGGCTGACCACCTCTGGATGGAGTGAGCATTTGTGGCAAGATGAGAAGGATCTGCTGGGCGATCCGCCAGGACGTTCCTGGTTCCGGGCAGGTGGGCGGCCCCCAAATGAATGGCGTGCCGCACACAAAAGTCCCAGAGGCTGAGCACTTCCCGACAAAGGGCCAAAGACGTGGCGCCGCCCTGCCTATTGATGTAGCACATTGCGGCAGTATTGTCCGTCAGGACCTGCACCACCTTACCTTCTAGGTGAGGCAAGAAAGCGAAGCGCGCCAGGCGAACTGCTCTGAGATCCCGGACATTGATTTGAAGGGTTAGGTCGTGTTGCAGCCAACGGTCCTGGGTGTCGAACTTGCTCAGATGGGCTCCCCAGCCCAGATCAGACACGTCTGAGACCAAGGTGAGCGAGGGCGCCGGGGTCGCGAAGGGGACTCCCTGCAGCACTGACTTGGGATCCCGCCACCAGTCCAGAGACGAGAGAATGTGGCTCGGCACCGCGACCACTTGGTCCAGGGGGTGGCTGCTGGGAACGTAAACCGAGGCCAGCCACGCTTGCAGGGGCCTCAGATGAAGCCAGCCATGGCTTACCACGTAGGTGCACGCGGCCATGTGGCCCATCAGTCGCAGGCACGTGTGGGCCATGGTGAGCAGTTATCTCTTTATGTGGATGATCAAGTCTGACATGACCTAAAATTTTTAATTGTAAATGTCTTTCGCAACAGGTTAAATTAAAAAGCATTCTCCCAGTTATTCAAAAGGAACATCCATTAACTTTATCAAGACCAAGATCCCAGTTCACGATAGGTTTTCTCACTAGTGGAGATATCTTAACTAGTCCTTTGAGGAATCTTACAATAGTGGAATGGCTGAAGAATTTTCAATTGCCAACTGAAAACAGTATGTTGAGATGTCAATAGATCACTTTGAATGGTGACAAGGAAAAGCTCAGACTTCAGATATAATAAATACTCCAGAATAGATCAAATTGGGGCACACCTGGAGACAGATTATCTGTTGCCCATAGAAATAAGTTCTTTTCCATTGCTAGGGAAAAAAAGTAATTGAACTGTTCTGTAACCTACTCTTTGAGATGTTTTCTACATGTCCATTACACTGTAGGTGTGTGTGTGTGCCTCTAGAACAGTTGTCAGAATTTTACTCTCTCCGCGGTACCCACTGGGGCAGCTCTCACTGCATGCAGGTATACAGGGTGGAGTCACCTCCAACCACCACTGGGTCCTTTTAGACAGAAAACTCCAATGCCGAGGGGTAGGAGGGCAGATCGTGGAGCAGACACGTGCAACACATCTCGAAGAATAACAGTTATGGAACAGGTCGGTAATTATTTTTTCTTCTTTGAGTGATTGCACATGTGCATTCCACTCCTGGTGACTCACAAGTCATGAAAACAGATGACGGGATCAGAGCCTTTCTGAACAGGGATTGAAGGACAGCCCGCCCAAATCTTGCTCCATGTCTAGCTTGCAAACAGGAAAACAAGTCCAAAAATCTTTTTTTCTTTTAAACACAACTAAAGCTTACTATCCTAAGTATATTGAAGACTAAACTAATTATATAAACACATACTATATTTACAAATGCTGGGACCGAGACAGAACTGTTTTGGTACTGAACAGAGTTCCAACAACCGTCACAGGCAGTAAGAAGGAACTGAGGGGGCTTAGGGGAGGCTCTGCCCTTTCCACCTTCATGCAGTGATGCACGGCAGCAATGGGAGCTTGAGCCACCCAATGGATACCTCTGAGGGGAAAAAGTTTTCAATGACCCTGTGCTGGGCTCACCAACACCAAGATTGGAATCCACATGTATAGTCACTCGAAGAAGAACTGTGCATAAGAAGCTGAGGTGACGCTGTTAGATGATGATTTAGATTGTAAACTCTCTAGAGCAGGGATTATCTCTTATCTATGTTTTGTACAAAGTCCAAAACAATGGAACTCCAGTCCTAACTGGGGATCTTTGGGTGTCAATATAAATTATATTTATAAGATATGGGGGCTCTCTCATCACAGCTCCAGAAGATCTCAGTACTGTCACTGACCTGTCAAATCTAGAGTACTCAGAAGGATACTGGTCTAATCTGATTTTTCTGATCACCAATAAAAATAATGGAATTAGTGGAGAAGTATGAAGGAGATCTTTGCTTCAGTCCAATAGAATGCATCAGATACAGTCTCTGTCCTCTCAATCTGAAGCAAAACTGAGGATGCTTTGCAATGCTCCTTGTGGAAAACACATCTATGAAAGATTTCAAATTTATCCAGTTCTCTTTATCTTTTAAATCAATGGGATTATTTACAGATTAAGGTACTACTCAACACTATTAAGAATGACTGGCCCTAAATTAACATTACATGTCAAAGCTTTCAAAACTGGATATCTCAATATGTTGGAGTGTTCAAATTACCACTTAGGTGTAATAAAAGGGCTATTTATGTTCTTAAGTGTTGATTTGAGAATCCAGTTATCAGATTTAAACAGCCCATTAAACTGCTCAATTTTGAAAAATGGACTCCCACATTAAATTCTAAACTCAGATGTCAGCACGTGTCTTCACATAGCTTGAAAAATTCACTACTGAATTAGCATGACAGTGAATTTTCAGGACACGTAGCATTTCAAACTACACATCTAAGACTAGAATCCAGGCCTCTGTCTTTAATTTTGGCCCCCTGTGCTTAGACTTTACACTTTAGATCAGACACTACAAAGGTTTACACCACACTAGACTAGGCAGTCTACTTTGTTCATTAATCATTGACACAATGGGCTACTTAGACTGTGAAAAGTTGTCATATGAGATGTATTATGTCAAAACAATTGAAATGTATGTTTTAAACCCAGATTCTGCCTCCAGATACAAGGCACAAATCCTGGGAAATCACTTACTAGATGCAATACGACACAAAATGAGCTCAAATACAGCATCTTAGATCCAAATCAGCCTTTTTAAATCTAAGTGATACAAATTCTTATGATTCTTCCCTGAAAATGTTAGTGTGTATTTCCAGTAGTCACTTTTTAGTGAAATAAAATGGATAAGTTAACCTCATCATCTTGACTACTGCAACCTCCTCCTCTCTGGCCGCAACAAATTCCATCTTGACCACATATTTCCTTCCAAAATGCTGCTACGCAGATTATTTTCCTGGGCCAGTGCTTTGATAACCCTCCACTGGCTCTCCAATCTCCACCATAGCTAACACATATTATCAGTCTTCATTTTAAGGATTTCATGGCATATCCCTGCCCTACCTGTAATATCTTATACAGTATCAAGACGTCAATACCTGCATCCGCTGTGCAATTGATTCCTGCCTGGCCCGCCAATTTGTAAAATTTTCCAACAAGGACCTTCACGCTTTCTCCCATGATTTCCCTTTTGAATGGGAGGAACTCTGTACAGAAATGTACAAAAGTACCATATTTTCCTTCTTCGAATCCCTCCTTCCAACTCTCCTCTATCATAATGCCTACTACAAACTCAACAACGGAACGGAAGATGATGTGGCATGACGGCTGCTATCATGCAGATTGCAACAGAGGGTCCTGTGGCACCTTTGAGACTAACAGAAGTATTGTGAGCATAAGCTTTCGTGGGTAAGAACCTCACTTCTTCAGATGCAAGGCCATGCAGATTGGTATTGTTCCTCAAACTCCCCCAGTCTATTTGTTGTATCCGCCTCTTGTGTTTCATCTTATACTTAGATTGTACTCTCTTTTTGGGACAGGAACTGTCTCCTTTATATATTTCGATCTTATATACTTATATAATGCTCATCACTGCAATATCTGAGCACGTCCCAATTATTAATATATTTATCCTCACAACAGGTCTGGAGGGTAAGGAAATTCCCCAGGGTACTATTATCCCCACTTTACAGATGGGGAACTGAGGCACAGAGACTAGGTGACTTGCTCAAGGTCACAAAGGAAATCTGTATTGATACAGGGAACTGAATCCAGGTCTCCTGAGTCTCAAGCTAGCATCTTAACCACTGAATCCTGTTTGTACAGTACCAAGGGGCACAACTTTAGGAACTACCACAATACAAATAAACAACAACAATACATGAATATTTCAATTGTAACTTGATTCCCCTAATGAATGTCCACAACAACTAATCTTCAGTAAGGAATAATGGTCTGCAAACATGTCAGTTCTAAACTGAAGCTGGTTTGAGTTACTTAAGGGGAAAAGAGCATCTGAAACTACTAACTTCTATTTTGTTACATTCCTATCACTTAAAACCAGATGAACGGATTTTTTTTTAAATTTTTACAGCTGACTAATAAAACCCTAAAAATAAGGTTTTATAATGGAAAGTTGACCCAAACTAAACTATAGGAGTGTTGTTATAAAACACAAAGCATATGGTCTACTTACTGAATTTGAATAAAAACATAGAGACATTTAAAGAAAGAAATTATTCTTTATCACATGTTTCACTTACTTCAAAGCCTCTTCCAGTTTGCGAATTTTCTTTTGAGCATCCCCTCTCTCTTTATCAAGGTCATTTTGGAAGCCATGAATCTACCATTTCAAAGAAAAATTTTACATTTTAGCTACTACAGCATGTGACCAACAGAATGATTAAGCATTATATCAGTTTTGAACGTAATAAATTAGTTTCGCATAGGTTTAGATAAGAAGTTGTTGAAATATAATCAACATATGTAATGTGATGTTTCCACAGTTCAAACAAAGTTTAGGGACAAAATTAGCAGCAGGCTGAGACTATCAGAATAAAACTCTCTCTACTAGTGTGATTTTTCTTCCTGTCCAAAGAAATGTTAAACTTCTAGTGTTAAAAATACAATAACTGTATTAAAAATAACTAGTTTTTTCTTTAGTATTAATTGCCAGTATGAGGATACCGAGAGATCATGAAATAAAGGGTAGATAAGAGATACAGATTTGTCTGAACCATATCTTACACAAAGCATTTTTAAAAAATAAAATTAAATGGGTTAAAGCTACTTAAGCATACTAGCCACAGTATAATATACATTCAGATACTATGGCATCCAAGAGCAGTTGCCCCCGTGGAAAGAAAAGATACAGAGGAAGAAGAGAACTGCACTACTCTAGAATTCTTCACCCTCATTGAAATAAAAAGTGAGAGTGATTCAACAAGCATGTGAGAAAGACTGCATATACTCTTAGCTACATGCTTCAACAAGCACAAGATAAGTCAAGGTTTATTAATCTGTTCTCATTTTGAAATTCTTGGGTACTGTAATTTTGCAGTGTATGTGAACTGTGCATCTAACCTTAACACCCAAACAAATGCACACCCATAATAGTTTACAGAATCTTTAACATAAATATAACTCCTCAGTCAGCCAATATACATACATATCTATACATATATATGTACATACACACAAAAAACAAACACCCTTGCCCCCTCACATGTACAGATTCCAGAAGATGTGTACAGACACACATGCTTACTCTATCTTAAAGGCTCCATTTCTCCTAATTTCATCTTTTTTCTCTTTTTTCAAAATCTATTTAGATTATAAACTCTTTGAGGCAAGGACTGCTTTAAATGTTTGCACAGCACCTAACACATTTTGGATGCTAGTATAATAGAAGTAATAAATAATAATGATTTAAAAAAAAGACTAATGACTTCTGGGTGCAATTCAAGCTGACAATTTTGTTCTTGTAAGGCCTTGCATGGTATAGATCCTAGCTATCTGAGATCACCTCTCTCCCTGTAAACCATTTCAGAGCTCCTAGGCTGTTTCTAATATGCCCTACCTTTTAGTGTCAGGTGGTTAGTAGCAAGTTTTAATCTGTGGAGGGTTCTTTACTCTGATTCTGTTGGACCAACAGGGGGAAGTGAGTTTCAGAGTTTGTCAACCTTCCAGGCATGGTACAAAGCACATCTATCTGTTCACACTGGTTTTTGCCTAAGGCAGATTAGGTGTCAAGGATTTTTTTTTTTTGAGCATTGTGAGGTAATAGTGTAGAGATGTTACCCTCATATCTATATTTTCTTTGTGACAAAGAGTAGTGGTAAATTTAGGGAGTGGTCTTCTAGCACCCAATTATTTGCAGCATGATGTTTGATTAATATGAATGTTCTCAGAGACTTAGGAAATAGGTGCACAACTCTATGCATACCTAATTGAAGAGATTGCATGGTTCTGCATAAATTATGATTTTATTGATAGTATAGAAGAATTGATATTAGGATAAAGTGGGCATTAAATATTTGTTAATTTCAAAGTAGTGAGTGTGATGAAATTACATCAGAGAGAGAAAAAGAACAGATGGAGCAAACAAAGAAAATTTGGTTTATAAAGTACAGAAGTCTAGAGTGGCATTGAGAACGTTTAGAAGCAATACATGTGCCATCAGCTAAAAAGTGTTGTGAACATGTACAAATGATGGGAAGTCACAGCTCTGGCTCCACAAAGCACTCTGTAGTTCTACAGAAGCCTCCAGGGAAAAAAAAAGAAAATTCAATAAACCCCCACACCCTATAAACTTCTACAATGTGAACCACAGGAATCCAGTACATTTTAGCTGATTTCATATTGCAAAAGTATTTGCACAATATGATCAGAAATCATATCTCTAGAAAATATCTAGGCAAGAATCTGTATTTGTATCAATGACCTTGAATGTCTATAACAAGATGCAACTGACACACTCCAACATAGCATACTGATATCTCAGATGAAAAACAAGAAATGAAAAACATAGTTTAAAAGACTCACTGGTAGAAAGTTTCAGTACAGAAGCTAACTGTGTGGAAGTCAGAGTATTTAGCTGATTTGGAACATTCTCAGAGACAGAGGGATTTTCCATTAGGGTGGTCAGAAGTCAGTATTTACTGTCCTAGCATATTATATATGTATAACAGCTGTTACAAGAACTGCTCTTGATAATATTGTATCACAGTTACTACACTTAGCTGCCTGTTTGGAATACAAGGAGATTATTTGTAAAAGGCAGGTGTTTCCTTTACTTGTAAAACCATTTAGCCTAACTGGTTCCTGATTTAGTAGATAAGTATCCTTAATCAAACAGTGACATTTAGGGTTATTACTTATTATTTGTTTGATGTTCAACGATCTTAACAGGGAATAGTCACTATAGATCAATAAAGGTTATTAGATACTGGTATGTATTTAAGCGAACAGATTATAACTCATAATGCATGCTTCCTTTACTCAAAAACAGGCTATTGTTTTTAGTATTTTATAGGCGAATCAGTCCTCTATTTTATGGGCGTATGTAAATAACATGGTTCACATGTATTTTTTTCGTCTCATCTCAAAGATTTTCACAGTACACAGTTACATCAATGCTTCTGAACATGTGGACACCTGTACTGATCTCTATCAAAACAAAAGTTTTTCACATCTTGTTTATTATCACATAGTTATATAATCCATCCTGAAATAAGCTTTATCTTATCTATTTCATGAGTCAAAGGGCATATTCCCTAAGGGATGGGATGACAATAGTTGTTCTTGACCTGAAGCTCTCAAGAGGTATCACAGAGATAGAAAGACAAAAGAAAGCTGAACTGAAGAGAGAGTAAAATATATGAACAGGCTAGGAAGTAATAATTCCAATTCAAATGTGTGTGTGTATATATATATGCATATGTGCACACATATATTTTGACCTGGTTCTGCATCAGTTTAGACTTGAATTGTTCTTGTAGCAATGACAATTGTTTTGGTAATCATTCATATTTTTAAAGAAAATCACGTGTGCCATTTAAAAACACGACTCGTTTATTACATGCAAATAACTTCATTAAAATATTATTAACGTTGCAAAGTCAAGCACTCTAAAGTTAGGCCGTTTTAGAAATGCCACCCATCCACCACAACAGGCGGGGGAACTTGATGGGGCCAGGGGTGAAGAGGACAGCCCCACAGCAAGAGAGAAACACACACTCATTGAAGCTCCTCCCACCCTCTTAGAGTCTCTGGCACCCATCGGCCAGTTGTGGGAGAGGGGTGCTGACTGGTCCACATCCCCTAGCTCTAGGGATTTTACCTGGAGCCCAGGCCATGTGCAGCCTCTTCTAGCTCCATTCCTTAGAATTGAGGCTGCCTGGGATGAGACACTTTGCCAGTGGGTTTCCAGACATATTTGCTGACAGCAGTGGAATGCTGAGACTCAGGGAACTCGGGCTCCATTCCAGGCTCATCTAAGCATTTCCTCCTAAGCCTGATCCCTTCTGCCCCATCCCCTCTAACCAGTACTAGTCCATATTACACCACTGGCTCCTCATCCCAGTCCCATTCTCCTCACCTAGCCAGCTCAGTCTCCATTGTCCACACTTCTGATCCAACTGCCAGTCTATTTGCTCAGCAAGTCTTAGTCCACCCCTGCACGCCCCCGTCCCCATCTCCTCCTCTCCCAGTTCCTGTCTCCAGTCTTCCCCGCCCCACTCCTTGTTTCCAGTCTTCTTGTCCAGCCAGTCCCAGTTCCCTCCTCAATTATCCATTCTGGCTCTCCCCCTGCCCACGGTCCCTGTCCCCATCTCCCTTCACAGGCTTTTCATCCAATCTCTATGTCATCTTCGCCCACCCCCCCACCTCCAGGTTCCTTAACCCAGTCTCTTTATCCAGCTAATACCCAGTTCTCCCCCACATCCCAGCTCCTTCTCTCCTCTTCTCCCACCCTATTGGTTCCTAGTCCCAGTCTCCCACTTAGCTCCTCATCCAACCTGTTTCTCCCAAATCACTGGCCCTCTGGTTCCCCAGTCTTTTCCCTCCCTAGCTCCCACACCTAGTCTCCTTGCCTTGCCATTCCCAGTCTCCATCCCCAGCTCCCAATCTGTCTCCCTGCCAGCCTCCAATGCCAGTCTTAACCCCACCCCCCGACTCCGTGTTCCAATCTATTCCCTTAGCCTCCCCCAGAATGCTCTAAATCCAGGTCTTGTACCCTCTGAATTTGAATCATACAACTTTCTCCTCCATACTGCCTTGCAGGGGGGATAAGAGCACAGGAGAGACAGACTCCCTGCTCTCAGTTCTGGTGCCCAGACCAATCCCTTACAGGAAAAAAGTTCAGCTTTGCCACTGTAGCCCTGAACTATATGCTCAGTCACCTTTTAGGGATGGCATATTCCCGTCCTGTCACACATAGGAGCTATGAGTGGATTGAGCAATATTAATTTTAATAGTGCATGACCAGTCTAGTTAGCACTAGGAACTACAAGAGGTTTGAGCAGACTCAGTCAGGACAGAATCTCTAGATTAGATTAGACAGAGAAAAAATATAGATCCAACATGGCTACTCCTCTCACAATGACATCTTGTTTATCACCCTCAGTCTCTCACTCTCCCCTACTAGAAGGAGTTATCGGGTGCAGCCAAAGACTCTTGTAATTCCAGCATAAACATTCTGTAGCCAGATACTGTCCAAATTACGCCAACCGACCCTCGATTTTGACCTTCAACATTCTTATTATTAAATTCTCGGCTCCTTCTTCACTAGCTAACTTTGCCAGACTGAATTATGGGGTTTTTTTGCACATGCAAATGGAGTCTAGGATAACACTGAAACATTTCCACTTGTGATGCAAGACAGGATTTGAACTTTGGGCAGGTCTACATAGCCCCACAGTCTGGACTACAGGGGCATTAGGACTAGCTTATGTGAACTAGGTCTGAATTAAAAAGTATCTGTTTTGCATTAATATAGTCCTAAAAGGGGTAGCACCTTTTAGGACTACGTTAACACGAATGAGGTATGTTTTAGACACACACCCACAGGGTCTGCCCATTGCAGTTACAAGACACCATGCTACTGCACACGGCAATTCACACTTCTGTACTGAACTGTAGGGCTATGAAGACAAGCCCTAGTGTCACTATAGTGATCTGAAAGAACATGGAGTACTTGTGGCACCTTAGAGACTAACAAATTTATTTGAGCATAAGCTTTCACTGTGACGGGTTGGATCGCAGAAACCCCTTTGGGAACTGCCAACTGATGTGCCAAGACTACTTCTGCCCCTGCTTTCCTGCCCTGGCAGCTTAGGACTCCAGCACCCTGTCTTGTTGAGCCAGACACACCAGTCTGCTCCAACACAGACCCAGGGTCTGAACCACATGCCCCAAAGCTGCAGACTTAACTGAAAGCAACTAACAAAAGTGTTCCTGTCTTTAACACTCAGATGCCCAACTCCCAATGGGGTCCAAACCCCAAATAAATCCATTTTACCCTCTATAAAGCTTATACAGGGTAAACTCATAAATTGTTTGCCCTCTATAACATTGAGCTAGCAAACAATGCATCATTTAGATCCATTGTTCCTTTTGTTATAAGTAAATGAAGAGTAGTTCACTTGTAGCTGTATTTCAATTCATTCACATCATGAGTTTGTCACTAATGCTTAAAAAATAAGTCATGCAAGTCCATTATGTAAACTTTTATACATACATTCTGTTATTAATCACTACATCAGCTGAACACAGCTTTGACTTTAAAGACAAAGTCATTAAAAAAACAGTCATGTGGAATAATTAACTCTTGCAATGAATGACTGTTTCATGTCAACATTTTTGATGTTTAAGTATAAAAATTTGTACATATTGGCAAAGTGCTGCAAGATTAAATATGCACTATAAGTGCTAAGCACAATTTTTACAAAAAAAATCTGCTCTCAAAACACTACCTCTGGAAGATGATAGAGCATATGTATGGGTACAGATAAAAGGTACAGTAAGTATTTGTTGGGGGAAATGCTAAAATATCAATAGCCATTTCAAACTCCCTCTCTCTTCTACTAAAGCAATAGCAGAGAGTGAAAAATCACAATAAGAACAAAAGGAGTACCTAATAGGCCCTGTCTGCATCCTCTTCACTGGGGTGAATTTCACCCTAAGTGAATTAAATAGCAGGCATTAATATGTTTCGAACCATAGACATTATACTTCTGGAAAACATTTTAACAGCTTAATCCTTGTTTAAAAGCTATTTACTACTAGACAAGCTTTTAGGTTTCATCACTTACATACCCCCTTTCTACCCAATATTCACTTTTTTATGGATTTGTGGATTTAAATAATTAGCTACTGCCTATTACATCTGAAAGTGCACGTAACATTTTCATTTTTCCTTCAAACTCTACCTTTTTTTCATGAATCCGCTCTAAATGAAGTTTTTCCTGTTGAAATTTGTGTTCTTGATCCTGCAAATTGAGGAATTGATTTTTTAATAAGGAATCGCTACTTCTTTAAACAGATTACTATAATTCAAAAGCAGCCTTTACCTAGAAAAAACCTGTACATTTTACTAGAACACAGTATGGTCTACATCAACCAAAGTGTCCAACTTTATTTCATAATTAAACATTAATTGACAAAATTTTAATGTTTTATTTTAGTTCTAAAAATTACACAGCATTATTACTAATACTCGATTAGTTTGGGGTGTCTCCAGAATACCAGTCAGAAGACACAGGTTCAGTTACAGGTCTCAGGGCTTGTCCACACAGCCATTTAGAGCACAGCAAGCTAATATGCTGAAGATTTACACTGGCTTGCTGAACAGTAAGTATCTGTGTAGACAAGCCCTTAGTCCCTAGCTTCCCAGACTAAAATAAGATGGGAGGCAATGAAGTTAGACCTTGATGAGTGCAAGAGGGGAGAAAGAGTGCTTTCTCCTTGCTTTACAACAATTCATCCTATCAAATAAAAATGTTGAAGGATTCCAAAGACAGTAGTACATAGTCCTCCTGTGCCATCAAAATGGCTACACTTCTCCAAGTAAGAATAGAACATGATGAGATGTGGGGAAAAGGAAATACCCAGGGCTCCAACAGGGATGCACTGTAACAATCATGAAACAAGTTTATGCTGACTTTTACAAACTTAGATACTGCTATGAAAGACAGAGACAGGGATTTTTTTCAACTTTGTACTTCTCTATAATCCATTGATATTCATTTTTATATCAGTTCAACACATAGGAAAATAAGACAGATAGCCACAAAGTTTCTTTAAAAGGCTTAGCCAAAAGAATAAGAACAAGTTCTACTCTGTTACGTGTAGAGGGATCGGCTCCTCTGATTTCCAAGAGCTCCAAAATATATCTTAGTTTGGCATTCTATTCATACAAATCTTAGGAACAAGTAAAAAGGGCTCTTCATTTTTCCTGAGTGAAAAATTCAGGGCTCACCCTCAGCTGTTGCTGCCTTTGATGTTCTGATTCTTGTAACTGTTGTTTTAATTCAGACACACTCTGTTCTAATTCTTCAATCACATCAGATGCCTGTAGGGATTTAATAGAAGAGTGAATGTTTGTCTTGTAATCTCTATTTACAGAAATAAGTTACTCTTTCCCTTTTCAAAGTTGCATCAAAAAAGTAGAAAAAATTATAAATTTGGAAAAGACAATCTTTTTCAACACTAGTCACATGTACTTCATTTCTATTTGTCCATAAAAGTGCAGATGGGACTGTAGTCAAAAATTATAAAACAAAAATAAAAAACAAAACAAACAGGCAGCTGATTTATGAAATTTGAAAATAAAATGGAGACAGTCATTTAGCATTTTCTTATCAAAGATCTTAGAATTCCAGTAATTCAGATCAAAATGTGGATGCCATGTTTGCTCTGGGTTAATCATGTTTAGAATAAGCTACAGTTTTTGAAATTTGCTATGTTTTTATAATATATATTTGATTTGAACATGATGTAGGCTAGATAACCTATCACAAAGGCTACTTATAAAAAAAACTAATTTCTTACATTTTTGTGCTGATTATTTAAAAGGTTCAACTCAAAGATGTATGCAACAAAACGTTTCATGAATAAAAACAGGACAATATTTTAATATGTACCTGAAGAAAAATATTTTTCTTCATAATTCTTTTGGTAACAAATTTTCAAACAGGCCTCATCCAACTCTCTAAGCTTGGTGTCAAAATTTGCATGTCCCAAGTTTTTCGGCACCTAAAACCTTACATTCATACATCCAAAACAAGAGCTCAGCTAAACGGTTTACCATTTAACTCTCTCAGGAGGAATGTGGCAGTTCTGAAGTATATAACACAGAGACATCTTGCACAGAAGTCTTGCATATTACTGCTCTTTTATGTAATTATAAAATGCACAAAAGAGTACAGATCACATATAAAATAATACATCTCCTAACCACAATGCCCTTTGTTAGTTCATCCTTCCCTTGGGAGTCCCTGGAGGGCCATCTGGGCTCAGGAAGGCAGACAGGATCTGCTCCCTCATGCAGGCCCCCACATTTCACTACTTCTCCTTCATGGAGTCTTCTTCCCCAGCTTTCCTTCTCTCCTCTTAGCCATGCTCTTCCTCTCTTTATATGCCCCCCTTTCCAACACCTGGCTTTTCTTTGTTTTATATTTTGGTTATTTTCCATTGCTCCTATTTTCCTACCTCCCTGCAGAGGGGTAGGATAAAACTAGTTTTCCTAGGCTTGAGTCCAACCCAATGTTCCAAGGTGTTTTCACCTGAATAGAGGCCACTGAGTTCTAACACCCTCCACTGTATATGGTCTAGGAGGATGTGACATGGTCACACATGCAGGGGTGGAATCCACGTACATATTGAGGCATTCAAAAATTACAGTAATTTCATAACACAACTTCACAATATCAATCAAATTTCGTAAGTTCTACAGACAGATCCCCCAAGCCATCACAGCAAGTGAGTAGCTCCTTTGAGTAAAGTTATTCACGTGCCTTAATAGTTGCACGATTGAAGCCTTACAGACCATTTTGAAAGTGTGTCCCCTTATATTCGTAATTGGTAGGCAAGCATTTTTATGCCCATTATTCCTGGGAGGTTGTATGTCTGTAAACATACCTTAGCTGCTGAGAGAGCATGTTCCTGTTTCATAAAATTTATGTCAATATCATATTTGTTTTGTTGTTGCTGAATATTCTGTTCATAATCTTGTATTATGCGATCCTTCTCTTTCTGAAGGGAGTTGCACCTACAAGTAATAATAAAGGAAAAATAAAATGGAAATTGGCTTCAAATTTTGGCACTTTATTTGCTTTATGTAATTTTTGAAGCTTCTGCAAAATTCTACAAACCCACCTAGTCCTCTCACTCGATAAAATGTAAAATAAAATTGTACAATGTAAAATATATTTGTTTTTTTCGTGATCAACATCTTGGTGTGTGTCGAACAGTGGTTTTTGCACCTGGGTTGGTAAATTTTCATGACAATTTTCTCAGGCTGAATTATTGACCACTGATTTTCTTGAAGACAGAGAGTGATGTTTAGTTTTGGAATTGCTTTGGTTTAAACTCTGACTACTTTATTAATTACCTTGATTTCACCTCCTGCAGTTCAGTGCATACTGCTTGGTAGCATTGCTCTAGATCAGTCTTTTCTTGAGATAATTTCTGACGCTGTAAATTACTACTTTCAGCCTCTACAGTTAGCTGCTGGACACGGGCCTCCAGTTCTTTGACCACCTGGTTCTAAAAGAATAGGTCATTGTTAAGAATAAATTAGTGCACACTCCTGTTGTTATTCAACAGCCTAGAGCAACTGCAGTTCTCTGGTGGTCCAGAGAAACAAGAGTTATAAAAGCAAAGCTGTCATCAGTCAGGACAGTAAATTCTATGATGTATCAAAGCTTTCAAAATATACATGTTTCAAACAAAGTAAAAAGTGTGACCTCTGCCCCCAGGCCCAAACTGGAACAATACTCGCACTAGATTTCTGTAGAATAAAGTTTTTATAATATGAAGCAAAACAAACAGTTTAAAGAAAAAAATGTTATTAAGGGTAATGTATCTTGAACTACTTCATACCTGTCAGAAACAAACAACACTATGATCAATGACAATATAGACAGCCTGCATGTAAGACAGAGCCCAAAAAAGAAACTTTCAAGACTAATACCAGGAAACATATATATATTTTCTTTATTTGTAGTCCCTTTCAAGAACAAACAAGTCAGTTGCTCAGATAAAGCCTTTATAATGTTGTTATGGAATCCAATTCATTTAATTTGTACGTTATATTGGCACCAAATGTTTACTGTAATAAAATACTTATTCAGTTACTAAAATGAAATCATGGCCAATGCCTGTTCCCAATAAATATACTGAGGTACCAAAGAATTGAAGAATTTAGGAGTTGTTCATTATTTGCAGTAAGTCTCTTTTAGTGTCATATCCAAGAGACTGCAAAAATAACTTGATACAGCAGCTGATAAAAGACATTTTCCATACATAAAAGACGGTTTCTTTGTGTATCTGAGTAAACGTGCTCACATATGTGTATGAGATATTTTGAGATATACTGATAAGTGTGGCATGCTATAAATTAGGGGGCTATTAAGAGGACTGATTATGATATACGTATTACAATATTCAATAATGCTTGACACATTTTTAGTAAGTCTTCATATCAATTTACAAATATTAACAAATGCCATTCACAAATACAAACATCACTCCATGAAGTAGGTGGTATTATCCCCATTTTAAAAATGGGAAATTGGAAGCACACAGAGAGAGATACCCTGGCTCAAGGGGACACAGCAATCAGGATCAGGCCTAGAACACAGGCATTCCCTGCCTGCTTCCCTCTATATTTACATCTCCTTATAACAAATCCCTTTTCAATAAATTATAAATGTACACTGAACATTTTTGTGTTAAACACAATTTCACAACATTCAGCATTTAAAATAAAAATATCTGAGAATTCCAAAGAATATATACTTTTTCTCTTCTCCATTCTTTCCTAAAGTAATCTCAGTGTATAAGGAAATGAGAATAGAATTCCTGAGAAGGCAGAGGTGGGAAAATAAGACACAACTGCCTTTTCAGGATGTTCAAATCAAAGTTATTTTTATATTAACAAAGGTTTGGAGGTGGGGGAAGGGAGAGGAAGTGGAAGAATATTTTCACCCTCTGTTAAAGGATAGTAAAAACACAAACATCTGTCAACTCCATTCAAGTTTTGTAGTATATTTAAATGTGCCTGGAGACATTTCTGACACACTCATGCAATCAGAATAGCATTATTCAAGCTTTGCAAAACAGTCTAAAATATTTTCTCAAACACACCAAACTTAACCATACACTTGTGTTGCATTTTAAAAGAGACTCTTTCCATCAATGCAAAGCCAGCTGCAGGGTCTGGTTTGTTTAGACAACAAAGAAATTCAAGTATATTTTACTTTTAAGTTGCTACATGACAAATCCTGTAGCTAGTGGAGATTACTATCTTGTTTTTGACAAACAGCAGCTTTCACACATCCTGTACCCAATAGATTGAACCATATGATAAAATAAGGAAGATATCCCACTTTGCCAGCTGGGGGAAATTTGGCAAGAAAAAAAGTTATCAACTTAATTGCCAATGAAAACAGTGCCTTCAAAGATAACTTATGCTGTCAATTGGGGCACAACAAAGCCAATCCCCTAAGAAGCTTGTAGCATGCAATGAAACTGTGTTACAATTAATATGGAAAATCTGCATTGATGGTTGTAAATTTTAGAAGAAGATACAGTCGTAGTTTCAAATCAGGGTAATATCTTTTATAAATAGCATGAAAACAGTTGACATTTTTATTATGTACATGTAGTATTAATAAGAGGGGCCATCCTTCATTCAGTCAGTATTTTGGTCAGTATGCTCCTTAATGAAGAGCATATTTAAGAATATCCCTGAATCCTCTACTGTGGCTGATAGGCTGTGTACTGTGGGCATTCCCCCCATAATCCAGCAGCTGAAATGTGCACTGTACAGTTTGGGTCACTAGACCTCCTGGACTACATGGATGTTGCATCTGGAGGCTGTCCATAGGGAGTCTAATGCAAGATCAGGATCTAAAACAGTTGTCAAAGAAGCAGCTACATCTGAGCTCAGAATTTGGCCCTTTAAGCATAAGGTTATATTGAACTCTGTCCAATTAATTGTGAATGTTTTCGCAATCTAGATTTGTGCACTAATCTAACCACAGTGGGTATTCATATTATACGCTATGGGCGGATTTCACTCTCAATTTACAAACAAGAGTCATCAAGGATCTTCCAAAACTATTGACTTGTTTTGGCCCTCCTTAGGAGTTTTTTCTACAGATTTATAATTTGAAATTACTGTCACCCATCCATAAGGAATTCCCTCTTCTTGCATTTTCACTTATGAAGCATGTCCCTCCCAAAACATTTTTAACATGACAAACACTAACCCATGTCAGTGGAAAACACTATCACCCAAATGTTTAAAAAGAAGACACAAAAGCGCTAAATCAGAGCCTTCCTCTGGGTCTCTCAATCCATTTTGAATTATCCATTTAATTTACACTGTAAACTCCTCAGGTTAGGGACTGTGAGTTCCTCTGTATTTTAACAAAAATAAATAAAAAAAACTCAGTCAAGATTAAGCATCAATATTCACCCAAATTATTATTTAAAATGTTAGGAGGTGAAGATGCCTTTTAGCAGCACAGCATATTTCTTACTACGGAATATCACAAATTATGAGATGTAACTATTAAGGGCCTTTTACCATAAATAGTCACAGTCTAGTAAAATATACAGCATGAGTGTTCTGGGGGGGAAATAATTTAAGGAGCAACACTATGCTTTCAACTCTCTGAAGTGGCTGGTTGGATAACACAGGTGAGATTCAGCTTCTAGGAGAAGACATCACTCTTCAGGACCTCAAGTTGGCTGACTCAGCGATATTACATACCCCAAACCCCTCCCCCAAACATTCTTCTCTGAGTTGCACAGATGTAAGTCCAGAATGACTCTGCTGACTTTGATGATTTAGACCATTAACTCATCTTGCAATTAATCACTTGCATGGTGTGCACACATTCCCAGTCCTTCTCTTTTTCCCAAATATCCTCCTACATATACACTTACCACAGGACAACTGCTATGGATAATGGTAAAGTAAGGTCTATGGCAGAGATGGCTGAAAATATATGAGAGAGAGAGAGAGAGAGAGAGAGAGATGGCTACTTATGTAATAAAACTACTGCCAAAAACCCCTTTTCATAAAGCTTTCATAAATTTTCATAAAATGTTTCCATAGCTAGTAAGCCATTCTTGCTTCAGTGTTTTATAATTATTGATGCTAAATCACACACACACACTTCATAACCATTGCTATCTGCACCCAAAGTATATATTTTTTTCCAATAAATAAATGTTTGTTTTAGTGGGGGAAACACTTGTATTATAACATTGACAAGAGTTATATCATTCAGCCAATTCACTTGTTCACAATAAATGGCACTCCTGACAGTATGAAACGCCATGAAAAATGAAAAAAATCTAAAACAACAAAAAAAGAGAAACTAATTTTCAGTGACAGTCTAGTCTTTCATCTTAAGCCATGCCTTGAACTCTACCTTGTTTAATTATTAAATCAGGAGCTGCTCAGCAAGATCTGTCTGCTTTTGATGGTTCTTAAATTCAATCCTGCTGACAGACTGTGTCCATTTTTCTCCGTATTTACTGTTGCCTATGACAAGGTCTGAATGCTAATTTTTCAATTCAACATTCATTAATGACAGAATAAAGTTTGACGTTGCCCTTTAGCTCATTCAAACTATCACTTTTCTTTAATGTCTCATCTTGATGACAAAAGTACAAGATACCTCTTTGAAAGGGACTTGTTGATTTTTGCTAACAAATATTTACTTTATAAACTGTGTATACAGTGTATAGTAAATACAGTTCACAACTGACTTTCAAATTATCTGCCTTTTAGTATTTTAACGATACACAGGGAGTTCCCTTGAGGTTTGTAAGAATTTATGTGGAATTCAGAATGAACTCTTTTCTTCTCCAACTGTGTTAGAACACATCTAGGTGAAGGTTAGTTGCCTACTGCTTCTTTCCTTGGAGGATTGTCTATCACTGCTAGACTGAGCAAAGAAAGTTACCCCCAATAACTGCTGGTCTTCCAATACACTGCCTGTATAATTCCACACTTCTGGGTGGGCACTATCCTTAATGACAAAATGAGTACCCTCTCAAAAGAAGCAACTGTTGCTTCCACACACATGATCCCCCATGGAGCTGAACATTTGAGGCATGGTTATAAAAACTACCACCCCAAATGTATAGTTCCTTCTACATATTCAAAATCTATAACCAAAGGCTCTAAAGAAGCCGCCTCTTTCATTGTATATTGCCTGTACAGAGCTCCACTTCAGAGGATTAAGTAATAGTACGTACAGTACTCCAAAGAGAGATTCTCCCAGACCACCAGCTAAGCCAGCTATATGGGCCATTTGAGATGGTGGACCAGCACAATGTGGCTGGCGCGTAGCCAAGGATTGCCTCCTCCCCGACACACACACACACACACACACACACACACACACACCCCTGACCGTGCAGAGATATTGACTGGACCAGGAAAGAAGGGGTAGAAGCACAGTGCAAGGCTCGCACTCTCCACCTTACTGAGTGGGGGAGGCAACCTAGTGACAGATGATGTG